GCTGAAATAATACGAAAAGTACAGTACTTACTGTTAGCGAACTGTAGAGATCGGCACCAAATTCTTTAATGATATATGCCTCACTGTTAGGAAGCTTGGATAACCGAATTAACAATGGTAAAAAGATTAATAACAATAATAATGATAGTGATAGTAACAATAACCAAGGCTAGAACGCACCAAGCTCTCTGGCGCGATCATGCGTTTTTGCACTAAACTCGCAGATCGCTGTTAGCAAGAATAATCCCTACGCTGTAGCCTAACATTTGGGCTCATATTGGCGTGCTTTGGCCCCTTCCGGCATGCAAGAGGAAAGGCGTCAGTTTGGATGAAGGTGGTGCATTATAAAGCCGCACGGACATCCAAGTGCATGATCACCGGTTTTCTGCATGAAGTCCAGTCGTTTTTTCGGTGAATGCTCGCTCTGTGAAAAAATGACAAATGCAAATTTTTTGAAAAAATGCAAATTTCCAGTTCATTAAAAAATGGAAGTATTGTTCGAGCGGTCGTTTATCAAAAAATCCACGTTCATTTACATATGCGATTGCGGTTAAGGTCCGAGCTGCGAACGATTTTTTTGAAAATATGCAAATTTTTAGTTCATTAAAAATTGAAAGTGTTGCTCGAACGGTCGTTTTTCAAAAAATCCGTGTTCATTTGCTAACGATTTTTGGGTTGAGGAGCTGCTTGAGGCTGTGGTTGGGGAGATAGAGAGCTGAGTTTAAAATTTTTATCTTGCATGTGCATAGAGAATATCCCTGCAAAGTTTCAGCTTTCTACGTTGCCTGGTTCGCGAAATCGTTCCCCGCCAACATATTTCTTTGGGGATCCTGTACGCGAGGTCTATGCGCGTATGGGGAAAGATCTTAAAATGAGAGGATGACACACGCGGTAGGGACATATATCCAAAGTTTTAGCCTCCCAGCTTTCCTGGTTGCTGAGATGAAAGTGGGTAACAAAATGCACTCGCTTTCCGAACACACACACAGAGAAAGCCTCTCGGCAATATGCGTTTTGCTGGCTGTAGCAGCGCTACAGCGCTGCACAGCAAAAACGCATAATAATAACAATGACAACAATAATGACAATAACAATAATAATAAACAATAATAATAATATAATGACATCCATAGTAAAATAACAGTCGTAATAATAACAGTGATGATAATAGCAAAGAACTTCCTTAATTCTTGAGGCATAAAATTAGCAGCAATTTGCCAACTGAGTGAGAAATCAGAAATACTAAATAAGATTTGATTTTTGATTTGTGACCTCTCCGACTTTCAGGAATTAGATTTCCATCTTAGCTTTTCTGGTTTCGGGACTGAATTATCCACACAAAAGATATAGCACATACACAAACAAACGTGATCTCACTGCAAGAAATGCGTAAGAATTTATGCAGACAAGAAAGACGTAAGACTGTGGAGGGGGGAGGTAAAATCTATGCCCAATAAGAGGGGCAAGACTGATCTTAGGATATACAGAAAGATGAAGAAACAGCGTGCTTTCCAATTTATACAAACTGATGGTTGGACGATTTTGACGGCCTTCCTGCGCTGATGGGCTCGAAGACCAAATACACTTTCAGCCTTCTCGCACCTTATCAACTGTCTTCCCTCATCTCTCATTCTTCCCCTCCTCGTTCCTTTACGCCATTTGCAGCACATGTTTCACTCCTCTGCACATTCGTTTCGTGTTATTTAATTGGTATGCGCAACTGTTGCTATTACTAGTTACCTGCTTTCCTCCACCAGTATATCTGGAACAATTTAATTTATGCACTCGATTTCCCCTATTAATAAATAGCTGCTATGTAATTTTGATTTTAACTGATTTTTTTTCATTAAATTTAAGGAAGATGAGGCAAAGAAGGCTATACTTCCTCAAAAACAGTCAGCTCTTTTCCAGCCTATGCTGGATATTTTGCTTTTATAAGCTGCAATTTTTTAGCATCGTTCCAGAACTAACTTTTCTAGCTGCTTCGACCAGTGCTGCATTACTTATCAGTCAGCTTGCTAGCAAACCTAACATTCGCCTTGTCTCTTGAAAGAGTTTACTTTATGAACTAAATGTAACGTGAACAAGTTGCTTAAAGTTTTCCGGGTTCAAATTCGTGACTCAGTTGCATACTTATGATTCGTTCGGGATTTTCTGAGCATTTTAAGAAAACTGTACATATTATTGATTTGTCAGATCTTCAAGAACCGGTTTTTGAAGGCCATCCCTAGTTTGTGTTTGGAAGTGTCACCGAAATCCCCAGAGTTTGGGTCATCCGGGGCCGTTCTCGCATCTTTTCATTCATCCATGATCCCATTTCTACTGCCATAGTTTTCAGGATTTTATTTTAATTTACTAAGACCGCCGGTGTGAAACTGAACTACTTCGTTTCAGATGTGACGACAGAATTTCACTCTTTGTGTCAGTCGACAAGCAAGACCTGGGATTCAAGGAAAATATTCACTTTACCAGTTTTTGTAAATATTAATTTCTTTCTGGAAGTTAACTGTTATGCCCGGTAAATTAGTATCTCAATTATTTCTTTCCCTTAAATATGTTTGGCCGGCGACTGATGCTGTGCAGTTTTTGGAATTCACGATCACGACTTCTGCGCATTTCTGTCTGTCTGACATTGCTCAATATCAGCCTAAGCATATTCCGGGATTTTCTGGATGAGCCAACAGAAGCAAAATTTAAAACGGATAGTAGAAATGGAGGTGATTTTGATGAAGACATGGACTACGTGTTGGAAACAATACAATATATGCATGATCTCAAGATTGGAAAAGCTGAAATTCGGCCGGTAGTGGAAGAGGTTATTTTCATTCTCTATCCAACTCATGCATCTGTCGGAGGAAGCAGACTTCTCTGTTTGTACTGCGAGGTCCAGTTGTAAAAATGTTTGTAACTGAATGAACCGAAAATCCTAATATCACCTAAACGATAAATATTTTATATTATGTCAGAACCTTTGTTTTTCCTAAATCAGCTTTACAACTAGGTGCAAACTATTCCCTGAAAATTTAAAATTGTGCCTTAGATTGGTAGGCAGTAAAAACAAAATTTTAACAAATCAATAAGCTGAGGATCAATTAACCTTTGAAACTTAATTTGTAATATTTGGATCACTGTCGTATTACCGAAACTAGTAACTTTTTCGGTTACTCCGGGCAATGTTGTACCGCTTGGTGATCAGCCTGCTAGCAGTCCTGACGCTTTTTTTGTCTCTTGAAGGAATTAACAGCTCAGCGCTGCTCTGTTGACGGAAGAGCGATTTTTCAGGAAGCAAAAGTGCGGCAATACTGGTGGCGCTGCCGACTTGCAAAACCAAATA